GATTTAACTTCTAAATGACAGTGAATTGAGCAGTGAAATTGCAGGGGAATGAGTGATACACTAAAACTGCTTTATTTAGCTAAAGTAATTTAGGTGTCTATAGTGTTCCTTTAACCTCTCCCTGCAACTTTCAGTATGGAAAGATTGGCCTTCTCGTTTGCTCTACCTTTCTCACCGTATCATTATTTTTTACTACAAAAATTTTACCATTTATACCTGTTTTTAACCATTATAATTTTCTATACATGCAGTTTGTTATTGTTATTTTCAGTGAATGTATACCACCAATATTTCATGTACTATATATTTATTAATATAGTGGATGAAAAAATTTGAGACGGTTATGTTGTTCTAGATAATTTACTGCAAACCAATTAGTTTGAATGACTATCTGTTCCTGTCCAAATTAAAGATAATAAAGTTGCGTGCACGCAGAAGTAAATTCACACTGAGACACAAGGTTCAGGGTAATGAAAGAACTTCAGAGAAGTTTAATGGCTTCTGACAGAAAATGGGTGCGCAGACCCTTTTAAAGGCATTATTACATCATTGAAGAAAATCAAGATAACAGCAAATAGACACTATTGATTGGTCCAGGTGTTAAGTGGTTAGTTAGGTACCCTCCTATCAAGAGGTGATGTCATCCTTGACACGGGAGTGGACACAAGATGTAGGCGCCATCTTGTTAGCACGAGGTGTTCACTCGATGGGAGGGGTGCTTTGGCAGCCATCCATTTAGAGTGTAGCTGGCACGGTTAGTTTCTCAAGGTTAGGTTTCAAGGCTTTTAGTAAATACACATTTTATCAAAGCTATTTCTTGCTGACATGCAAATTCTATGTTCTATAGACAAAGCTTCCTTGTAAAACTATGGGGGGCCTCCTAGAGGTATAGCAAGAGGATTTAAAGGGGCCTTACAGATTTATAGAGGCCTAATAATTCTACAACATTCCCATCTAAAATGTTATTTGCTAAAAGACAAAACTTTATTTGTTAGTATCAGAAGAAGTATTAGCCCAAAGACACAGAAACCCCATGACCGCTGACTTAGTGTTAATGCAAAGTGCAAGTCTATCCCTCTCTTGACCCTAACAGGCTGCAGCACATCCGTCAGTACGGTTCAGGAACACTCTGCACTCCGCTGGTAACCCATAGTGGCTTATCCACTACTTCTCCGTACGGCAGTCTACCCATAAAGACGGACGCTGTCCCTGTACTGTCCCTTCCTAGACTGATGAGGTCTTGATCATCGATTGTCAGATGAGTGAAGGTTGGTGTTGCTTGGTCTACAGTTTTCTGCAGGAATTTCCTTAGGCATGGGAGGACACAACAAATGAGAAGAGCGAGAATAAAAAAGAAAAATTAGTAAGGCAATACCAATCTGGACTAAAGCTCTCTGCCAACCAGTCATCCAACCAAACCATTTTTCCCAGGGATCAGTAACTCCAGAGTTTCTCTTTAACTCTTCTGAGAGTCTATTTAATTTAGCTATGGCCAGAGTGACTTTACCATTAGGACCTGTGTTTTCTGGGATATAAGTGCAACAAGTCATAGTGTCGGGAAGTATTTTACAGACTCCCCCTTTTTCGGCTAAGATCATGTCTAAGGCCAGTCTGTTCTGGAAGGTCATTTGGGATGTGGCCTGTAATTGCTCGGCCAAGCCCTGGAGGGCATCCCTGGTGTAGTTCACGAAGCGCTGTTGGTTGTAATAGATATAATTAATCCAATTAAGGTTTTTGTTGGCAGTGACTATGGTAAAAAGTGATTCAAAACCTGCAGCTACTTCATCTCTAGCTTTAAATTCATTAGGCACCCCCCTAGGCACCCCAATGGCATCTATGTAAATGTGGGGGTCAAAACTGCCTTTTACTGGGGTTTCGCACCTTACTCTGGCTGGTGTATGTGGAGGGTCGTATGTGTCATGATGATTATCAGAAATAATATGAATGGGCATGATAACTTTGGCCAGGGTACACTCACCCCACCACTCAGTTTCCAGCCTAGATCTTAACTGTAGATCCCCACATAACCAGTAAATATCCCCCAATGACCTGGTATGGTGTTGCAACAGGCGTATAGGAACAGGTCTGTAAGTGGCGCAATAACCTTTAGAAAAATTACCCATGAATTTACCAATCCCGTCATACATGGCATAACAAGTGTAATTACCTCTATAGACTGTGATTCCATCTGGTGGCTTAACATTTTCAACTAAGAGAGGGTATTCTGCCGTCCATGCCATGCAGAGGGACCTATTAAAGTCATATTGGTAGGCAAAAAGGCTTAAGAAGCAATCTTCTATCTCTAAAGGGAGAATTAGGGGGACGGTGCCAAGGTGGGGTCGGGCACCGCCACATACATAACATGCTGTTTTATTATGTTTGTTGGCATTATACCTCATCCATTCTAACCACAAACTAATGTCATTGAATCCAGTTTCAGCGGCCATGGTATCTTCAAAAGTGGGGTTAGCGATGGCCATCATATCTTTAAAGGACTGGATATGTGGTTTTAGCGGATTTGGGACCATATGATCAGCCCCTTGCCACTCTGGAGAGTGGGACATATCTCTGAGGTAGAAATGACCTAATTTGTTGTAGGAACCTTTCTTCCAATACATTCCCATTACATATCGGTCTGCATCCTCGGGGCCAGGATGTTCAATATTTAACATTAATTTCATAGGGGTACTTCCTCCAGGCTTTCTTAAAGTCATTCTTTGAAGGAGGGATCTACCCTGATTGTCTATCTTAGATAAAGCACTTTTGGGTTTATAACCCCAGGCAGGCCCAGTATTCCATCCCGCAGCCCCCCAGTAGTTACAGTCATAACCCCATTGTTCATCTACTACACAAACGTAAGGGTCTTTTGCTTGTGGGATATCTTTATAAATGGCTTGAATCTGTGACTTAGGGAATGGGCATTCTACAATATCACAGTAATCAAAAGTGAATGTAGCCACATGGGTACATGATGAATTATACCAGAAAGTGTACCCACTAGCATCTTTGGTGATGGCCACCTGCTGGGCTTTAAGGAGGCCAACTAAGGAGATAATGTACCAGAGGCACATGGTTGCATAGAATTAGCTTCCTCTGGGGCAGGTGTCTTCTTGCAATGGGAAGCGTGGATCCAGTTAGGCCTTCCGGACAATTTGACAGAGGTAGGGGAGATCAGGAGAACTTGGAACGGTCCGTCAAATCTTGGTTCCAGGGTATGTTTTCGCACAAATTTCTTGACCAGAACCCAGTCACCGGGGAGCAGACTGTGGTTGCCTGTGTCAGAATCAGGATCTGGAATTGAAGAGAAAACTTGGGCATGGATTTTGTTCAAAGCATTTGCGAGTTCAGTTACATAATCTACTAAAACATCAGTTTGAAGTTGCAGTTGTTGGGGAAAATAGCAACCTAGCCTAGGTGCAGTCCCAAATAGAATCTCGTATGGGGACAATGAGGTAGTATTTTTGTACAAGAGCATTCATTAGATCTTTTGATAAATGTACAGGTCTGTGTGCCCATTGTACGACTGCTGGGTACAAATTCTTAGGGAGGCAGAAATTGAGGTTGTTGGAGTACACTCCATCCTTCAGAACTGCCCCTTTCTGTTTCCACTTCTGTATTTCTTCAGGGGCAACTGTAGCCTGTTGTTCCAGCAGGATTTTCAGGTCAGTTGGAAGAGTCTGCAGAGTAAATATGGGAGTTTCTTCATTTCCGGACACTCTTCTTTCCACTTCCTGTGGTTCTTTTGCAGCTTGTTTTGCAGCCTGATCAGCTAGATGGTTGCCCTTTGCTTCATCTGAGTCCAACTTCCCATGTGCTTTTATCTTCAAAATAGCCACTTCTTCTGGGAGTAGGAGGGCGTCCATCAGCTCCTTGATCGCGGAACCGTGCTTGATTGGTGTACCGGTGGTGGTAAGAAATCCTCTTGTTTTCCAAATTAATCCGAAGTCGTGAGCCACGCCCAGTGCATATCTTGAATCCGTGTAGATATTGGCGCGCTTTCCTTCAGAGATCTTGCATGCTGAAGTCAGGGCTTGCAATTCAGCTTCTTGTGCAGACATAGTTGATGGTAAAGATGATGATTTGACAATTTCATCTGTTGTGGTTACGGCATATCCTGTATGGTATCTTCCTTCTTCATCAGCATATCTTGAGCCGTCCACAAACAGGGTGAGATCGGGATCTACCAATGGGTCTTCATGTACAGTTGGTAGATGTGTTGTTTCCATTTTCATCTGTTCAAAACAGTCATGAGGTGTATCTGGGTCGTATTCATTCACTATGGTTAAATCTTGGAACTTATTTTCCAGGAAATGACGTGGCCATGCTTTTAGGGTCAGTTGTTGGATATTTGACAACACCATTTTCCTGTAGCTGTGATTCGTCCATAGTGGCCCATGCTTTTGCCATAGGCCCAAGATCATTCCATGATATTGTTTTCAACTTGGTCACAGGGACATGTGGAATGGCAGTGTCCCAATGACGGTACAAATGCTTGAGTTCCGGAGGTAGATGAATCAAGACCATACTGTTGCCTTCAGAATCACAGTAGAAGTCTTGTGCAGTGAGTTTTACTTCGACCAGATGATAGAGTTCATTTTCATAGCAGGGTTCAGGAGTGATGTTTGATTTGTACCACATGGTACAGAAGGCATATCCTGCTCCGTCATGAAGGAGTGCTTGTCCATCATGAAAGGATAGGTTGGGATGCATTTCCTTCTTGATGGTGCCAGTGAGAAGAAAAACATAAGTTTTGTCCATGATGAATCCGTAGTATACACCCCCCTCAGGGAGTGGCAGAAGAGTGGACGGATTGAGAACTTGACATCTTTGGAGGGTAATGTTGTCAGGCAACAAAAGATGACATTGAAGGCGAAGATGCCTAGCAGGAGTAACATGCTTAAGTTGGACCTGGTTGACTATGGCAGAAATGTCATGGGGGGCCAAGACAACCAGGGGGTGGCCAAGGACAAGATCTCCAGTTCTTTCAATGAGCTCTCTGGCAGCAAAGACGGCCCGAAGGCAAGAGGGACGTCCTCTGGCCACAATATCCAGTTGGCAGGAGAAAAATCCAATAGGCCTTTGGCGGCCTCCAGGACCATGGGCCTGAGTGAGCACTCCTGTTGCATGGCCTTGTCTTTCAGAAACAAACAGTTTGAAGGGTTTGGTATAGTCTGGTAGGCCAAGAGCAGGAGCAGAAGCAATAGCACGTTTGAGAGAACAGAAGTTGTCAAGGGCTTCTGTGGACAAGCAAAATGGGTCTGACTTGAGAGCATCATAAAGAGGTTGCATAAGGAGCGAGGCTTCTGGGATCCATGCTCGGCAATAGGAAATGAGGCCTAGGAAGGCGTGTAGTGACTTCGAGGTCCTTGGAGGTGGAATGTCCAGTACCGCTCTAACTCGGTCACGGGTAAGATGTCTGGTTCCCTGAGACAGACAATGGCCAAGGAAAATAACAGTAGGTTGGCAGAATTGCAGCTTGAGACGTGAAGCTTTACATCCTTGTTCTGCTAGGTAGCAAAGAAGATTAAGTGAGCATTGTTCTGTTGTGGGTATATCATCTCCACAAAGCAGCAAATCATCCACATATTGAAGCAGGACGACCTCAGGATGGTCAGATTGCCATGGATCAAGGATAGAGCACATGGCCTTCGCAAATTGACTTGGTGAATTTTGTGCCCCTTGGGGCATGACAGTCCATGTGTACTGTTGTTTGTCATGTGTGAAAGCAAACAGATATTGGCAAGTTGGATCCAGGGGAACACTGAAGAAGGCATTGGCTAGATCAATTACAGTGAAGTACTTGGCAGAGGGTGGAACGCCGGAAAGGAGAGTGTGTGGGTTGGGCACTATTGGAGTGTCCAAAACTGTGGCTTCATTTACCGCTCTGAGGTCTTGGACCAATCTGTACTTTTCTGGTTCGCCTTTTGGAGTCTTTTTCTTTACTGGAAATAATGGAGTATTGCATGGTGATTCACATTTGACAAGAGCACCCTTCTCCAGGAGTGCTTGAATTTGAATTGTAATGGCTGCAGCTTGAGCTGGTTTCAAAGGATACTGTGATTTTCGTGGCAATTTTACGCCTGGGATGAGCTTTACCACCACAGGCGGGACCTTTAGATGGCCTATGTCCTCTGGGCCTGTGGACCACAGCTTCTTGGGAACATCAGTCTTTAGTGAATCAGGGAAATTAGTCCTTAGGTCTTTTGCATCCCCATGAGGCTCTTCTAGATGTAGCATCAGGGGTAAGGAGCACAAAGCTGAGGTGTCTGAGACAGATAGAGGGGTGGATAGTTCCACTTGTCCATCTGGAGTAAAGGTGATGGATGCCTGCAGGCGTGAAAGAACATCAGCTCCTAACAGGTTAATGGGGCATGTGGAAGATACCACAAAGCGAGCAAGCAAGTTGTGGCAGTTACCAACCCGCAGTGGGGTGGACAGGGGACTTTGCCTTGGAAGGCCGTCCACCCCAACACAGGAGACATCAATATTGGAAAGAAATGAGGTATCGGGCAGGTCTTGTTCTCTCAGAACACTTCGGGCTGCACCTGTGTCAACTAGGAAAGTGGTGGGCTGGCCCTCAATGGGTAAAATTACAGTAGCTAGAGGCCCCCCCTGTTCCCCTGAAGACACTGCCATGGCAGGGGCATTAAGCATCAGCGGGTTTGCTCTCCTCAGTATGGGCTGTGTTACTGACTCAAACCCCTTTTGTATGTCATTAGCCATAGCTTTTTGCAGTCTGAACATGTCTATCATTATAAATAATGGTTAATAGTAAGTTAAGTAAAGTTCCTAAATGTCTTTGGATAAAACATTAACTATTGCGGTACTATCATTTATATTAATTAGACTATAACAATTATACCACCCTGTAACTAAAATGAACAACCAGTAGTGGCTGGGTTAATAAAACATGTCACAAACCCTTCTAATGCTAAACCATCATTTAACGTAAAGGATGTTACTGTAAACATACGATCTGTAACTAGCAAGATTCGATTAAGTAAAGATACAATGTTTAAAATAACTTGCATTATTTAGCTATTTCCCTTGTTGCAAGATGAAGCTGGATAATCAGCTGTTATGCTCTTATATTCGTGTCCAACAGATCTCATTTGTAGGTCACACCACAGTTGCAAATTACATTTTAGCAACCTTCTCTTTTTTTATATCACGGACACATTGTTGATACAGGGAAACATTACAACATGTCTCTAAATGGGACGAGCATAATAGGGGTAGGCCTCATGATGGAGGCAGCCATGACAGGGGCGGGGAAGGAAATGACAGCAAGGGAGGAAGTGAGATGACGTCCATGATAGGTGTGGGAAAGGAAGACAGGAGGTGTGGGCATGGTAAGGGCGGAAGTGACGTCACTTTCAACAATACACTATATTATAACTATTAAAATAAGTCAGAGAAGCAACATTCCGTTCTGCAAAATGAAATACTAAACTATGAACAGACCTGGCAGGTTAAATAAGACAGTTGAGAACATTATGCATTTAACAGCCCATACAGCTGTTTCTAGAAACATGTACTTTAAAATAACTTTAAAATAATAAAATGATGCAAAATAAACTCGCGGAATTCAACCAAATTCCCTTATCTTCCTCAAACCATTAATCACTTTCCTCCTCTTATACTGACTTAACAACATCGCATATTCCCTCTACACCTTCCTAAATCCCGTATTCAACACTGAATGCAATCTTGTGAGCTCGTCACTCCCACAATCCTCAGTACCTTATACTCTTATCAGTAGCTTCTGAATAACTCTACAGAACACCGAAGAGACAGACCTAAATCGCAAGCATGTCACCACCCCCCTCCGCCCCCTCCCCCCCCCGCGTCTCACAGAAGCGAGGGGAGGGGGGGGGTGTTTTAGCAGAGGGGGATTTGAGTGGAACAAGAGAGAGACTGCCTGCCAGCACGAATTTAACCATGTCAACGCTGTACAGTAACAAGACAGAAGGACAATTACATTACAAAGCAAAGAGACACAAAAACACAACATTTCATTTATACCCCCACCCTCTACCAGGGTAATGGCTAACACAAAATACAAAAACCCCACAGCGTTTTAAGATTGGGGTGGGATGGTGACCATGGTCAGCTACATTTCGGTCATTACTGACAGGATGATGGAAGTGGTCACCTCCTGGACAGGGCACTGCTGGGATAACTTCCCAGTAACACAATTATTATGATATACATACAATCTTAAACCTTTGTGATCAATATCTTCCTCAACCTATCCCTTTTGCTGAATAGCTCTTGCTACTCGGTACCAGGCTTCTGCTGTACAAACCAAATCTTGGTCCGACAGCTTCCCTTTCTTCTCTGTCAGTAACTTACGCCAGCTCTCTGGCTACAATCTGCCGCACAGAGGTACGGTAATTCCACATACTTTAGCAATCTTCCTCACTTTCTTAACCATCTCTTCTCCTTCTCTGTCTTCCACTAGATCACATGCTAACCAACCCTTACTGGGTTTATCTAACTTCTGTCCCATCCTCCCTATATAAGGCGTCCCAGATATAGAGAGAGAAAGGAACAGAACGTCTACCGTGCTCGACTGCTACTTTAAGAGCAAGCTCTTTAAGTACGTCTTCCCAAAACGTAGACTAGTCACTGATTCCGCCTACCCGTGGTAGCCGCGGATTGGAGCGTGGCGAGAAGTGTGTGACCAATCACTTCTCTCAACAAAGAGAAAGAGAAATAGGAGGGGAAAGTGTAAATAGTACAGTGAGTAAGATAGAAGTAAACACAGGAATCTGTGTGACAGACAATTAAGACAATAACATTTCAGTGTAAATACAGTGAATGCATCACAGTTCAAATAAGTTCAACAGTTTTATCCCTTGCCTTTACTCGTGTGGCCAAAAGCCACCTCCCTCAACCTCGTAGTGTCCCTGTTGCGGACCCACCCGCAAGTCTCACTACCAGCAGCCACAGGAAACAGCAACAGCTTCCAACCCGAATCCTGTATAGCCTAAAGAATTGGAATCTTACCTGCCTCAGCGCTTGAGACTGGAATTTTACCAAGAAGAAGTGTCCGATGAGGCTAGCTAAGCGGTCAAAATGACACTCTGGGGAACCCCCAGGAAGCAATGAGTCTACATCATCCTCCACAGATTCCCCCTACTCTTTTTCCTTACAGCCACAGCCACGTGGCTCCTAAAAGAGTTAAACAGGCAATAGAGGACCCCCAGGAAAACTTCCACAGGTCCACCCCCCTTTTTCCTTACTACCACAGGCATGTGGTACCTAAAAGGAGTTAAACAGGCACTTACACTCCCCGGGTACTAAGTTAAACACATACCAATACAAACACACCCAGGCAACAGATAGTCAACATGCAGGTAAACTAGGTATCATTAACAATACAAAGACTCTGGGCAAGTTATTACCTGACTTTGATGTCCTCTCGGCAGCAGTCACAGACACTGGGGCAGGTCAATCACAGGGGTAGGAACATACCGGCTAGGTGCTGCAGCAATCTCTACCGTGTATTCAGAGGTGATCAGGCTCTTTTCCTTCCCCCAGGATTCAGCCCCCCCAGCGTCTTCTTGGACAGCTGCCCAGACTGGACATAGCCCAGAGCCCCACGTTGGAGCGCCAATTGTTCTAGAT